CAAGTTTCAAACCAGGTTGAAGAAAATTATAAGATTCCAAAAGTGCAGACCTAGATAGGATTTGGAGAAGTTATATGCTCAAAGACAAAGCATGCAGGAGATCGTAGAAGAGAAACTCAGTGCAATTGAAAGTGAAAGCAGAAATGTTGAAGTGCAATGGAACAATATAAAAGAATGCATGCTAGATACTATTAGCAAATTGGTTGGTAAAGTTGAGAAGATAGCAAGAAAACCATGGGTTACACAGGAGATGATGAGTAAAATGGAGGAGCAAGGAAATGGAAGAATGTAAACAATGAAGAAGGCAGGAGGAAATACAGGAGACTGAGGAATGAATTGAAAAGAGCCACGGACAGGGCCAAAAAGGAATATCTTGAGAAGATATGTAATGAGATTATAGAATTTCAAAGGACAGGACGTTATGATTTGATGTACATGAAGACAAAAGAACTAGGATGGAAAGAGAATCATGGGATTCAAAATACTGGCATTGAAGACTCCCAGGGGAGTAGAATAGTAGATCAGAGGCAAGTAGAGTGCGACTGGACAGAGGGGAGACAAGAAGTGTGAAGACTGGAAGAGGAGTTCGACAAAGATGCTGTTTATCATCTATTTTGTTCAACTTGTACAGCGAATGCCTTACCAAAGAAGCTCTGGACGGGCTTGGAGACTTCAAATTAGGAGCGCAAATTATTCTAACTGTTAAATATGCAGATGACCTTGTGTTAATGGCTAAGGAAGAAACTGCTACAGTGTATGATTGATAGAGTAATCGAAATTAATGTGGAAAAAACAAAAATAATGAAAATTTTTAGACAACCAACCCCAGTCACAATAAAGATAGACCAAAAACAACTGGAGAATGTGAAATGTTTTAAATATTTGGGTAGCTTGTTAACAGATGATGGAAGGTGTACGTGTGAAATTAAATCTAGGAGTGCCATGGCAAAAGCTCCATTTAGCAAGAAGAAGAATCTTTTTACCAGCAGATTGGACTTAAATTTGAGAAAGAAACTAGTGAAATGCTACATTTGGAGCATTGCTTTGTATGGGGCTGAAACTTGGACACTTAGGGCAGTAGATCAGAAACGCCTGCAAAGCTTCGAAATGTGGTGTTGGAGAAGGATGGAGAAGATCAGTTGGACCGATTATGTGAGAAATGAAGAAGTATTATTTAGAGTCAGTGAACAGAGGAATCTCCTAAATGAAATAAGAAAACAGAAGGCTAATTGGATTGGTCATATCTTACGCGGTAACTGCCTTCTAAAAGAAGTAATTGAAGGAAAGATAGAGGGGCGGATAGAAGTGACAGAAGATGTAAGAAGCTGCTGGATGACCTTGGCGACAGAAGAGGATATTTTCATTTGAAGGAGAAAGCTCTAGATCGCATCAAGTGGAGGCACTGTTTTGGAAGAGACTGTGGACCTGTCGTCTTGACAGATTACTGATGAACGAATATATGTATATTGTCCCATCATTACGATGTTAGTTTCCATGTGTCTTATCATATATGGTAGATGATGGTATCTTCTGGGATTCGTTGTTATGTTTTGTGTCTGAACGTAAATTAGTACGTATTGTTATAATCTAAGTTTTGAGTTATATGTATTTATATTGCATGGTGTGGGTGAATTACTTACAGGTTATTAGTGATGCTTGCGTACAATGTTATTGCTAGTTTTATTGTATGTATTTCTCCTTGATTTCCTTATGTGCTGTCATAATTGAGTTCTGTAAATATGAATATATATAATGTTATATTTTAGCGTCCTGTTGCACTGATTTAAGTCCATGATTTATTTCAACCGTCTTCCAGTGCATACACTCATCTGTCTCACTCCTCTCTCTCGCACTACATGTTTCGACACAAAAGTGCCGATGAAAAATCCTGAACAATTTTAATATTTTTAACATTTAATATTTATCAATATATATGATAAATATATATTTTAGTTACTTTAATATGAAGACGGCAAGGCATGCAGTGAACTAGTTTAACGTAAATCGAATAAGCACTTGAAGATGGCACTTTTGTGCCGAAACATGTAGTGCGAGAGAGAGGAGTGAGACAGATGAGTGTATGCACTGGAAGACGGTTGAAATAAATCATGGACATGAATATATATCTTAACGATTTTAACAGTTAACATTAATATGGATCTACATTAGGATAATTCAGTAACGAGTGATGTATTTAAGAATACTGCCTGGTGATGATCCAAATATGTATCAGAACATGTAGCAGTCACAAAATAAAACCAATCCAATCCAATAATCCGAACTATTACCCATTATTTTCATTACTCGTAACCCACTACACATGACAGTATAAACAGGTTAAAGTAAAGTAAGCTTGTTGGTAAAGGTTAAAACTTACATATTAGGGATTAATTAATCAAATTAAATAGAGGATTACCTTGCAAAATTAGAATTCAATCAAGAAAAAGCAAATATCATGCTGGCAAAATTAGACGCCGATAGGAAGGCCGAGAAGGACGAAATGGAGGCCAATAGAAAAAAAGACAGGAAAGATTTCCTGGCAAGACTAGACTCCAACCAAGAAAAAGCGGAGACCAGCCACAAGGAACTCCTAGCCAGATTGGAAGCTGACAGATAGGCCAATATGGATGCCTGGCGGAAAGAGATGACGGCCTGCCGAGAAACGACAGAGGTACGTCTAGAAAAAGAAGTAAAGACAATAGCCTACCAAGAGATGGAGGTACGTCTAGAAGAGGAAAAGCCGGCCACAGTGGACACGAAACCTGTGGCGGCACAACAAGAAGAGGTCCCAATAGTGATACCAGTCGGAGTGACGATGGCCTGCTGAGAAATGGAGGCACGTCCAGGAGAAGAAGAGCCGGCCTCAGTGGGCATGAAACCTGAGGCAGCCGACCAATGAGAGGTACCCGTAGAAGACGCCGAAGTAATGCCGGTCAGAGAACCGAAGAAGGAAAGGCGTAGGGACCGAAATCAGCGAAACATGAAGAATCCGACACGGGGAAGTTGTGGACCCCAGAAGAACTTGGCTGCCCCCTGCAGGAAGGTGTCCCGCTGTGCAACAGTGGCATGGGGTCGGAGGAATATCTTCAATAAATCTTGGACCCGAGGAGATTATAAATCCCGGATGAAGTTGGCTGCCACCTGCAGGAAGATATCCCGTCGCGCGACAGTGGCATGACATTGGAGAAATGCCTTCAAGAAGGAAACTCCCCAGGGAACCTTCGGATGCCAGAGACAGGACTTGGCGCCACGGTCTCATGCCAGCAAGTGGCGGGAAGACCAGGAGGAACGACGATGTCAGCAAGTGCAAACAACACTTCAAGTGCTGTTACGTCGACATAAGGAACTTCCGAAGAAAGACATGATCAAGAATTGGACCTTGTGGGGGGGTCGACCCCCTCCGAAACGAAGAAGAAGCATAGCACAGAAGAGGAGCCGGTAACGTAGAAGTACCAGCCGCCCGAGCAGTGATGAAAGTGATGGATGAATGGGATAGAACTAGATCTTCTAGCAAGTTGAAAGGAAACCGCTCAAGACGAGCTGGTCTTAAGAGGAGAGCGGTTGTAATGGCCGGAGAACAGATGCTGCAAGAACAGCCTCCAAAGCAAAGGAACGGGGGTGCACCGGTAGGCTATTCGGGATGAACAGCCTTAAGGAGGACCTCTCCCTCCCCAGCGGTACGTGGCGGCATCATAGCGCTGTCGTCACTACGGTAATAGGTGAGTCAACACCCCTCCCCTCTCCCCACGGTGACATAACACGCAACACAGCTGTGACACAGGTAACAGGCAACAGCAGTACCCATTGCGTAACAGGCAGGCACTGCGACTATATAAGAGAGCTACACTGCCTATGAAGACAGTTGAGTTGGAATCTAGCCAGCGGCAAGTTACGAGTTAAGGACGTGTGTGTGAGAATCAGTGATAGTTCATGATAACCGAGTAATAATTGGGAGTGTGTGTGATACAGTTGCACTTGTATAACTCCCACGTTATAAAAACGTGTAGACTACTGACCATAGAGTGAATTGAATATTGAATAGGGGTTGTAAATTGTGAAAACCCGTAACAGTGTTATAATTAATTGTAGCCGAGACTTGTAGGTTGTTGAATAAACCAATTAACAATCCGAACAGTGTCTTCAGTGTCTAAACATGTGACAATATCCTAAAACTGGTGTAAAAGTTAAAATGCAGGTTACACCTTGTGGTGTTAAATGTTCATTTCAAGTAATACCTAAGTGTGTTACAATTAAATGCAGTTTTTATTGGCATTATCTTGGGGTCATGGATGTTACAGGATCATGTGCGAATGCCCTGTGTGAGGGTCTTCCTTGTATCTTCAGCATTGTAGCTTCTTACCAGTTATCCTGTGAATGGTATACTCATTTCCCACATACCTTCTGGGATGAGTTGGATTAAAGTGTGGAGAATTGAAAGTTAACGACACAGATCTTGCCATTAAATGAAAAATACACCACCGTGGGTAACCTTCACTTGAAAATATTTACCATCTAATTCTCCACATTTTGATCATCCACCACAACATCTATTTTGTCTTCACCTTGAAGATATCCTTCTTTATGTTGTGTTGACAGTCCACTTCACATAACTAAAAATGTGATTTTGTACAAAAATGTTCAATTTAATGTTCTCACACCAGCAGTTATGAAATGTTATATCTTTTGGGATATAATACTGTGTACTCTGGTGATAGTTAACTACTTCTCATTTCTTGCTTGGCTTACTTTTCTACCCTGAAGATGGAGGCAATATGTTCCTCCCAAACACTGTTAGACTTTCACTGGATTACATGGTGTTAAATTTGAGATGTTAGGATTCTTGTACAAAAATGTTTTGTCATACAGCCATGTGCATGCCAGTATTCCTGACAGCACTTCATAATTTATGTTATATCCCAAGCAGAGGATGGAATTTGATTTTTCACTTGCTTGCACAACATGGCATCAAGATTTAAAATCTGTTTGTGTCTGTAATACAGGTGCAGTTCCTCAAGAAAGCTGTTGACATTCTGTGTCAGTGTCGGCAGACATTAATGTACACCTATGTCTTCGCATACTACTTAAGGAAAAATAACCAGTCTGTAATATTTGAAGTAAGTTCTTTATTCTAGGTTTTCTTACATTATAAATGTTCCTCACCAAAGAAAGAGGTTGACAATATGCAAAGGTCACTTTCATTATTCAAGGAAGAACCTAGTAAAGCATCAGAATAGGATAGTAGGGAATTGGTGCAGTTCTTATAAGTGGAAGATATCTGTATACAGGGTGTCCCAGGAGGAATGGACCAAACTTCGGGAGTGTGTTCCTTATGTTAAAGTATGCCAATATAACCCAAAACACCTATGTCCAAAGTTGAACGGTTATGGAGATAATGGCCCAAGAAAAGTGTGGTCTTATGGCAGGTCCATGCACTGTACCTCTCAACTGAGAGGACTTATCTATGTTTGTCCTTGAGTGCCGTGATTCACCCTAGCCATACGTATGTAGTTGGCTTTATCATAACGCGCAGTCAGCCACGTTACGTCAGCGCTTGCCATTCATGTGTCATGTATAGTGCTTGGAAACCCTAAGGACAATTATGACATGGCGAGCGAGTATTTTGTACTTCAATTTTATGGCATTATGTCACTCACAAGTTAGTTTGATGTTACGTACATTATTAACATTACAGAACCCACATATTCCTGCCAGTTTTAATATGTATTTTGTAATCAACAAGTGTGCAATGCCGGTCAAAGTTTGACACTTCTCTGGCCATTATCTCTGTAACCGTTCAACTTTGGACATAGGTGTTTTGGGTTATATCGGCATACTTTAACATAAGGAACACCCTCCCGAAGTTTGGTCCATTCCTCCTGGGACACCCTGTATACACCTGTGACTTTGAAATAAAGTGAAAATTATTAAGTAGATTATACTGTACTCCACTTAGCAGAGGAGTTTTGTCTTAACTGCAGTAATGGTCATATTGTGGCTAATCTGAAAACTGATTGATCTGACCACATACTTTCAGTTACACACAATTTTCTTGTATTGCCAGCATTTGGTAATGTTAAATTTATGCATATAATCAAGATTAAATAGCATGAAAACATCCTTGAAGATTTATTTGATATGTTTGTATACTTAAGAAAACTTAAGAAAAATTCTTTTTCATTATGTTTTAGGAAAACCAAAAAGATTTGGAGAGTGCTACGGAGACTTTATCAGAATATCTGGAGAGAGATATTACCTCAGAAAATCTGGCAGATATTAAACAAAAAGTGCAGGATAAATATAGGTGAGAAATGGTTCTTTAGATATCAGTTACTGCTGGTATATTTTAATGCTGAAGAATGTGTGAATTTCCCAGAAATTACCTCATTTGAATGGAATTATGAAGATGAAAATGAGATCTACTTGAAATATGACAGAATAGGTATTGTTAAATGGTAGAGTGATATTTGAGAAGTACCTGGTTTGAATCTGAGCTGCTTGATTGTAGATAGTAAGGAGCAACCTCAGTGGAGATAAGAGTGTAAGTCAGAGCATCAGGAAGTCCCTAAGGAAGAGGATGTAGTGAAACCTGTCAGCACTGAAGAAGTGGCATAGGGATTGGAATCTAGCCGTAAGGCACTGTGGAAAGCTGAGGAAACAGACCCAGGGCAGTGGTAGGTCCTGGAAGAAGTTTACCACCGCCTGCTGAGGGCTAACAGGACACGGTCATCAGGGACAAGGCCAGGGCAATGGAATGCAACAGCGACACAAAGAACCAAGACCTAAAGGAGAAATTATGTCTAGGAAGTAAGGGAAATAAAAATGTTAGCAAAACCTTCAGGGAGACCCTAGGGCTGGAGATCACAAAGAGAATAGCTGGATATTCTGTCAGGATTCGAAAAATGAATGTCAGGACATTGTGGAGGGGTCGGCCCCCTGAAAAGAAAGAAGAAACCACTAACAACAGACTGAGAGCCATGGATGTAGGAGTATTGACCACTCTTGCAACTGTTGCCCTCACCAACTGGCAGAAGCAAAATGATGGTGATACACCTGGATCGACTGGCACCCTATGAGTGAGTCACTTGGGAGGAGTGGCCTTAAGGAGGGAGCAGTGGGAGTGTTTGGAAAGTAAACACCATGGGAAGGAAGGCGAGACCAATCACAGACGTTCCAAGTACAGCCCTTGGAAAGGAAGAAATGGCAGTTTGCCTGTAGGCCATTTGGGATGAATTATCTTAAGGAGGATGCAATGTGACATATGCCTGAAAGCCGGATTAGCAGAGCCAGAGTAGACATTCATTACTAGGAAAGTAAGAAAAATCAGCGCTAAGACATTGCATATACTTTCTCATGTATAATTGACCTTGATTGCATTGCCATGGAAATGAAATCCCACCAAAACTGTTTTAATTAAGGATATGATTCCATAAATTATTGAAATTCAGTCAAAATCATTGGAGCTGTTTTAAGAAAGTGTTAACAAATTCTTGTTTTTGAGCCTGTCTGAAAGGCTCCCATTTTAGTTGGAATGTTCAGATTCACTGGCCACTGATGTAAGATGGATAAACTTTTGAATAACAACTAACATCACAGTTCATCCCGTTCATAACAAGGGGTGCAAAAGTTGTGACTCTGTAACAGTCTCAAGAATGATTTTTTTATAGTCACCTTACTTTCTCATATATACTCCGTATGTATGCTCATATGTATATAAGAAAGTTAAAAACATTGTTTTGGCAGTGACAGCATTAATAGGTAAAGTATCATGTTATAGACTGCATGGCTGAAATTGTAGGAAAGTGAATTTAAAATATTATGATGTATAACACTTCTCTAAGCATTTGTGTAGTATGAGTTTTGGGTAATAGATATTTATAAACAATGTGTTTTTAATTCCAGATACTGCGACAGTAGGAGGAAAGTTTTGCTGGAACATGTCCATGAAGGTTATGAGAAGGATTGGTGGGAGTACACAGAATAAATGTGACTGAATGCATGTGTGGAACACTTACATTTGTTATTAGTTACGACAAAGAATTTACTGCTTGTGATCGTGCGTCCGAATAGCAGAAAGGAAGACTTGTGTAGTTCTCTCAGGTTCAAATGACTGGCGGTGTACATTGCTGGGTATTAGGTCTGTTCCCAATTGAGTCCCTGTAGTGGTTCCAGACAGCAGTATCCAGCTTCAACGAGAATATAAACAGGGCACCCGGTGAGCTTCAGCACACTCATGGAGTGGAAATTTTTAACAGTTAAAAGCAATATACAACGTTAATTTCTTATGGGAATTACGAAGAGAAGAAAATTGGTGTAATGAACATCAGATTAGCTCATGGACTTGTTAATATGATGAAGTGACACAGTCTCACTGCATGTTAGTTTTCATCATGGATATTCTTTATTCATCCAGACATACCATGTACCTTTTCTTAGGTATTAAATTGTACATAAATCCTCTGTTTACAATGAAAGTTTTGATTGACTGGCACCACTAATATTTTTTCTTGAAAGGTTTGTTACATTTTTGTGTGGTTAAACATCAACCTACCAGGCCCTGCCTTGATAAATGTGATTTTAACAGCCATTTGGTTGTAGACTTAAATAAGAACATATGATTGATGCTAGTAAAGTGTTCAGAGCTTTTAGTCTGCACCTTGTATGCAGACTCAAATATGGCTGCAACAATTAGTTGTGCGCAGATGAAAGTGAGTTAGGACTCAGACATACTATCTAACAGATTTGTAATCTGTTGAGAGAGTACTGCTGTATTGTCCTACTTAGTATGTGATACTGCAGTGATTTCAAGTGTTTGTTCCAAACTATTTATTTAATTTTACAGATACAGTAGGTTTTCTGATTCACTGAGCGCAAGTTGTAAACATGGATCTGCACACTTTCTGTAGAAGTATTTGATATCATTTGAATTAACATTTACTTGCAGAAATAAATTACTGTCAATACGCAAATAAATTTTAAGAGTTTAGAATTATTCAAATGCCGTCTGACTGATATTCAGAAAGAAAAAGCAGGTTTAAACAAATTCAAAGGCAGATTAGGTGCAAAGCATCTGATCATTTAGTGACGATTCTTTTTATGCATATACAGAGCATTTAAAATAATGTATATAAACTTTTCTCTTTAAATTATGAACATAATTTGAACTTCAATCAGGAATATTTTGAATTTTATGCAAAATCATGGAGCTGTGAAACAAACCAATTATAATACTGAGATGCTTGCTATTTTGTGTTCTGCATGATTTAATTTATGCTAATATAATTGTATATCATTTTTGCATAATTATTGCTAAAGATGCTCTGTTTGAAGTACCTTACACATATATTGCATCCAGAGGAGTAAAGAAGAACGAGTTTTATGTGGTAACAACAGTACAGAATTACATCCAGTGATGGAACTTTCATTAATTTTAAGTCCAGTGTCTGATTTTTGACATTTACCTGTGACGTATACTAATTCAAAGTTATACAGTGTCAGTCATAACTTTACATAAAATATTAAATAATTTGGCACTTTCTCTGGGTTGCCTACCAATGCCTAAAATTTAGTACATTCGGTGTGTAACTTTATTTGTTACAAGAGAGAGTATAACACTTTTGTAAGTTTATTGTAACTGGTGCGCCATTGTTTGTACAACTTATTTCTTTTGATCATATATTTTTTATCCATATTTTTTAAGCAACAACAAATCCACATGAATAATTCACTCCAGAAAGGACTGAATGAGTATAATAGAGGTCTGCGCTCTGGGTTTTCAGTTTCAAAAACATATGCTGTCTAGATATCCCTCAATGCAGTCATATTTTGTAGCAGGCTAGAGCCTTGAGAAAATATGAAAAAGTAAAGAAGTTATATTGTAAATTTGTAAAATTATTAATTATAGATTGCCGTTTAGTTTGTGTGTTCTTTAATTCATAACTCCTTCCTCATATGACTGAGTAATGTAAATATAGGGCTAAAATATCAAACGGTGCTTTCTGATAATTTGTTCACACATTTCTCTTCAACAGTATGCCAGACTTCTTTGTTTCTGGGTCATTTTCTCATATATGCTGAAATATGGAATGAAACATATATTATTGGATAAAATATGGTCAGAATATACAGTGTGATTCAGAGTCCTATGCCCAGACTTTGGGAGCCGGTTGGGGAGATAATTTGGAGTAGAAAATGTAAATAAATTATAACAATTATTGAGTTTTTGGACATTGTCCATCATCATGTTTATTTTAAACAACATTTTGGAGACTGGATATCTGGAGATAGGGAATAGCTTTGTCAATATGTATATAGGAATTAAGTGAACCGTCAACACAACAAATATACTTGCTTTTAATGTTTTACAATTCGACTTTTATATTCCTGCTACATGTTTCAGTCATACAAGACCGTCATCAGGGAGTTATATATAGCAATATGTTTAGTTATTGAACTACCGATATAGATCCATACCAGTGCGATGTGTCATATATGGCATATGTGTTTTGTCTCGGCGTACATATGTCCGGTGTGTTCTACACTATGCATTGGTTTGACACACACAAAGTGCAGAACGCACTAAACATATACACCCAGACAAAATACATGTCATATTTTATGATCATATAACGATACATATCATGAAGTATGCACACCTAATATACCACACATTAACAACCAGTACATCATACTCGTTCTTGCAGATAGATACTTGTCTCTGGGCTCCACAAGCAGGCTTACTACATAGAAATCTTCTAACACCAAAGACTACAAATGACATAGCATGCCCAATTCTACACTGTAGCACTGGAACCTTAGTAATAAATTGGCATACATGTTTCTTAACTTCCCATACTTAGTAGTTTAAATATATATTTTTTTAAATATTTTTTAATATTTTAATATTTCCATAATATGTGGTTGTTCATAAGTCCGTTAAACATTTTGAAAATTTACAATAAATAAACTACACAATGGATACCAAATGTTATTACACTGAAATAGAGATAAACTCACCAAGTTTTTTTACATAGTTCACAGATGCTCAGTGTGTCTACCTTTGCTGATACAGCAGACATCTGTGCGATAATTCATGTTGTCCCACACCTGTGTCGGCATATCACAGGTGACCAGAGCCACAGCAGTGGTGATACGGTTGCGAAGATCCCTGATATTAGCAGGAAATGCAGGCACAAAGACAGTATCCTTCACAAATCACAAGAAGAAAATGTCACATGGGGTTAAATCTGGGGACCAGGGTGGCCACCGCATTAACATGTCATCTTTTGTCCTGTGTGCCCTATCCACCTTTGTGTCAAAATTTGAAAGAGATACCCTCACACGTAGTTGTTGTAGTGAACCGGACAGCCATCTTGTTTAAAGAGGTCATCATTACTATCTTCATTCAACTGGGGCATCAGCCAGTTTTCCAACATGTCCAAGTAAATCATCCCAGTGACTGTGGGCTTTGCAAAGAAAATTGGTCCATAAACCTTCTTTTTTTAAATTGCACAGAAGACATTCACCATAGGCGAATCTCACACATGCTGTATGACTACATGGGGATTTTCAGTCCCCCAGATGCGCACATTGTGCCGATTCACCTTTCCAGACACCTGGAAAGTTGCTTTGTCGCTAAAGATGAATGAGTCTAAACCTTCAACTTCAAATCTCTCTTGCATTTCAGTGCAGAAATTAAGACGCACAACTCTGTCATTATTGCTGAGATGCTGATGCAGCTGAAGCCTGTAGGGTTTACACTTGAGTCTCTTACGGATAATTGCCAAACTGTTGATTGCGAAATGCCAAGCTCTAAACTTGCACATGTAGTGGACTTGCGGGACCTGCACTCATAAGCTTGTCTAACATGATTCACAGTTTCTTCACTTGGTCCTGGACATCCCTGAATTTCTCATACCATTTCTTGATACTGTTGAAAACTGGTGCTGCCTTTTGGAATTCTGCTCGAAATCGTCAGTGCATAGTCACAACAGATAAGGTTCTTGCGTATTCAAAAACACAAAGTGACTGCCCACGTTTACTGAACGCCATATTTGCTATTACTGTCTTCTAGAGGCAGACCATGGCAACTATATGCGCAGGCTTTAAAAAAAAACTTGGAGAGATTCATTCTTTATCGGCCTAAGAATTACCATGATCTGATGTATAGTTTATTTGTTGTGAATTTTTAAAATATTTCACGGACTTATGAATAACCCTGTATTTTCAACACTGTTACTCTTGATATATGGTATATATTTTTATCTTTTATCTTATTTTATATCTTCTATTTTAATTGTAACACCAATTTGAGGCAAATTTTATGTGTTAGTGTATAATATTGTGACGCGTTTAGTTACTGAAGACACTGTTCAGATTGTTAATTGATTTATTTAACAACCTACAATTATCGGCTGCAATTGATTATAACACTGTTGCGGGGTTTCACACTTTATAACCCTATTCGCAATAATCTGTTCACTCTGCGGGGTTTCACACTTTATAACCCTATTCGCAATAATCTCTTCACTCTGCATGGTTTCACACTTTATAACCCTATTCACATGTTGCACTGGTATGGATCCATATTGGTAGTTCAGTAACTAAACATATTCCTGTATATAACTGCCTGATGATGGTCTTGTATGACTGAAACATGTAGAAGGAATATAAACGTCAAATTGTAAAGCCTTAAAAGCAAGAATATTTGTTGTGTTGACGGTTCACCTAATTCCTATATATATCTCCAACACACAACAGGATGCAACCGGTGAAGATTTATTGATTGAGCCAAACTGAGTAGACTTTACCTAAAGATGGAGACCGAATCCAGTCTCTGAAATGTGTTTTAAGTTAAAGCAGGACAATTGATAATGTCCACAAACTCAACATTTGTATTTATATGCTGTCATCACAGACTTTTAAATAAATTGTTGATTGATCACCCTTGTCTTAATGATGTTTTGCTACTATTGAAGAAAGGGAGGTAATTGTCCATTCATGTATAGAGCAGTTACTTATATTTAACATGTGTATTTATTATTTTTTATTACAATGAATTAAAAGCTCAAATTCTGAGGTTATTAGCTTTTTTCAGTTTGAATTTCACATTACATTGAACACAAATGTCTGGTTATGTAGTGGCACACACATATAGTCCATGTACATCAAAAAGAACTGCTCAAAGTTATCCAGCCCATATGCATGCTTCACAGTGATGTCAAATGACAAAACTAGTTGTCTAGGATGGCTCCCAACGTTTCCTGCAGTATCCAAGATGTGATTGATCAGGTCATTGTGATCATCTCTTCCATAGCATACATGTTTTCTGCGATACATCCACATCAGAAAAAATCAACAGCATTCAGATCAGGAGAATATGGAGGCCAGATTTTGGTTGTCTTGACTAATTTCATGTGTGGAAAGTGGTTGTTCAGTCAATTATGAAGTTGGTATAAAATTTGAGATGGGGTTTCTTCGTGCTGAAACCACATGCTCTTGCAAAGATTAAGGAGTACACAGTGCAGTAAGAGGGGTATTTCAAGGAAATCACCATACTGTATTTAACTGCTGTTATTTGCTATCACATACTGCCATATTAGGAACTACTTGTATACAATTCTGGTTCAAACATTGATGCTAGAACTTGGATGAAACTAAGAGCATTCAGTAGCATATTCTCTTTTGTCCATTCTTATGGGTTGTGGAGATTATATATTAAGTGTTCATGAATGTTTCCTCATCAGTTCACAATACAGGAGCACTCAAAAAGTCTTTGTCTATTAGATTTTTTGACTATACCATTTGTTAGAAATTTACATCTGGTATCACACACCAAAGTCAATGTGCTAAGTTTATCATATTACTCTCACAGCTCAAACATGACCTTAAGGTAAAAGGTAAAGTCTGTGTGCTTAATTAAGCACTAATGCCATGAAGATATATGGGGGGTGGAGGTATAACTCCACCATTTTTTACTGGATGGAGGTGAGTGGTCAGTTTCACACCCGAGCCACTGTACCCCATGGATAGGAGGCCAGGTGGGCCCCAGAGCTGGTCGGTACACGATAGAGAAGAGGAAAATCCTACCTCTACTCGGAATCACACCCCAGCTGTCCAGTGCATAGCCTGCTGCTATGCCAACTGAGCTATCCTGGCTCTTAAACATGGCTTTATGGAGAAACAATCAGATCAGTGTGAAAATGTGCTCATAAATCTTGATTGCATTTCAATTAACATTTTTTTTACATATATTTTCTTGTCTATCATAATTTGTTTTGTAATACTGTAGGATGCCTCCTTGGAAGTATCATCCCTCTCCAATCCAGCAGTGATTTTGTTTCACAAGGACAGTTGAATGATACTGTCTCAAAGATGTCCCATATTTCCCAGGCTTCAGTAACCGATATGTGTGCTAATTAACTTGTTCATGGCACTATACACTACTCTACAAAAGCTAGAAGATTACTACTGCCAAAAATGATGAAATGATCCCAAGAATACAGCTGTTGATATTACTGCCAAATTAAGGAAAACTGCAACTTTACTGAGTATCTGGACAACCAAATAATGTCATTACAAGGGGGGACCCAAAAATAACCGGAAACGACCTGTTGCGCGCACATGCTTTGTAGTTACGAGTTGTGCTGCTAGATGGTGTTAGCTGGGGGTCGCCCGCGACTGTTAGTGAGGTGGCGTCAGTCTGAGTTAAGTGGTTTGTCTGTGGTGCTCTGTTGTGTGCATTCCTGTTTCAACCCTTTGGCGATTAGTGAGATGGCCGACCAGAAGGAACAAAGAGTATGCGTGAAATTGATGAAGATCGTCGAAAGACCATTGACCAACTTTCTGAGGAAACGAACATCTCATGGAGCACGGTCCAGCGAATTTTAACCGAAGGTTTGCACATGAGATGGGTGTCTGCAAAATTTGTTCCTCACTTGCTCGGAGATGACCAAAGAGAAAACCGCGTCAATGTTTGCCGCGACTTGAAGAGTGAAGTGCAGTTTTCCCTAACAGAAAGCAAAATTTCACACACTCTTTGTTCCTTCTGGTCGGCCATCTCACTAATCGCCAAAGGGTTGAAACAGGAATGCACACAACAGAGCACCACAGACAAACCACTTAACTCAGACTGACGCCAGCTCATAACAGTTGCGGGAGACCCCCAGCTAACACCACCTAGCAGCACAACTCGTAACTACAAAGCATGCAGGTGCAACAGGTCGTTTCCGGTTATTTTTGGGTCCCCCTTCGTATGATGCTGATCTCTGTTAAACATATACTGTGAAGGAGCCACATATATTTGTGAGAAATTGGAAGGTTTGACTTCAGTTTGCTAAGGATCATAAGCATATGAACAGTAATGAATGAATGGGTTACAGTGTTGTGGACTGATGATTCAAAGTTGAACATGTGCAGTATGTTGGACATCCAGTCAATAAAAGATCTGACTTAAAATACTGCTGCCCACATTTAAATGTGGAGGCAATATTATGGTTTGGGCTGTGTTTATTCAAGATGGTATTTGTTTTCTGCATCTCATTGATGGCATTGTGAAGGAAATGCAACACAAAGATGTCCTCAAGAATATCATACTCCCCTATTCAAAAACGAAATCCTTGTGGATGGATTTTCAAACGAGATGACCCAGAACACCCATCTTTGCTCCTCCAAGACTAGTGGACCACATAGAAACTGTTTTTGAAATTATCTTCACAATCCCTGGAACTCAACCCTATCAAACACTTCTGGGGAAGGCTTAGGAGACATATTGAAGGTCACCTGCCATCCAACGTGCGAGAACTCTTCAATATCACGCACAAGAAGTGGCAGAAGATTCCTGTCAGCATTTTCATGGAAATGGTTGACTCTGTGCCTCACTGGTGCCAAATAATTATTACATTAAGAACTTTCAAAGGAAGTGTAGTAGTATTGTTTGTAAAGTTCATCATTTGTTTTTAGGAGCTTGTTGAAATAAACATTTCTTATAACGAGAAACAAAATGACATGACTTTTGAGTATGTTATCATTACGTTTTTGCAGTTGCTTCTCAACAAGTCACATTTGATCAGCTGGGACCATATTTGGTATTAAATGAAAGTGTCTAACAAAATTTACAATCAAGGAATCTGATGGATGAAGGTTTGAACACTACTGTACATGGCACAAAAAGAAAGGTTCATCTACAGTTTTGTATAGAAGCCATTGTTGGAACTGGAGGAAAAGGCTCCTAATGCCAAACACTAAACTGCCCTTTGAGAGAGGCCTGTTTCCATGTGACATGACAATTGATAGTTAATGAATTATCATGTTCGCCATCTAACACTTCACTTCAGTCTGTACACTGCATCTGCTGTAGGCCCTCTCTGCAGTATCAATGCTCTGTTTCCTTCAGATTGCAAGGTACTCTTATAAACACATGTCTATTGGGTTGCTTTCTGTCTAGATATTGATGGTGATATTCACTGGTATACCCTTGACGAAGCTCTAGACCAGTTGTGTGCAGACTGTCTAAAACAGTGTCTCTCAACCGCTGGGCTGCAGCCCAGTGCCAGGCCCTCGTCTTATAAAGAAAGAATTTACTGGGCAGCGGTCTCCCAAAGGTTGAGAACCACTGATCCAAAACACCATAACTCTGAAACAGTGGTGAACTGGATAACTCTTGTTCATAAGTACATGCCACTGATGTTTATTCAGTCCATAATATATATTTTCAAGACCTGGGATAGTGATAGGCTATGGGCTGGAAGACCATGGAATAGGGGTGCAATTCCCAGTTGGGACAGAAGTGGTTGGGTCTGAAGCTGGCCACTCATGTCCATCTAGTGCAGATGCTAAGAATATGTGGATCTATCCATCCACCACCTTATGGCACGATGCTTAATTAATTAATTAATTAATGGTAGGGACCTTACCTTTCACTTCAGTTGCATTGTCATATCTATGCATATGCCTCCTAAGAGGGTTTCTTGTTTTAGTATTTCCAACTAAAGTTTATATGTGTATGTTCTCACTGCTTCCATGCCCTATCCACCTCTTCTTGATTTGACTGCCCTAAAAATATCTGGTGAATAGTGAAAGTATGAAGCTCCTTGTTATGTACATGTAATTGTCTCTATCCTCCTATTCTCTCCAATTCCAAATTTCTCATCAGCATCAGCATCTTAAACACCTTAAATCTATATTACACTCAAGGTTCTCGAGGCAGTGATTATGATGAGTGCAGCTTTCTGAGATGAGATGCCATGCAGCCTGCTAGAAGTTTACTCTTGTCCTGAAGGAATGTACTGCCTTTCTGTTCACTTTCAAAGAGTACAAGCAGCAAGCAAAATGGAAGCAGTGCATTCCTCTGAAATATTGTTAACATTATACCAGATTACATGGCATCACATCCCAGAAGATACTATTATTCTCCTTTAATCTATGACGGGTGAGGGCCCAATTCCATGACCATATATCTAATAGGTAAAATGATTTAATATTTAGTTTTTAGATAGAGATTTTGAAATGAATGGTAGCAAGAATTCCTCAAATTTAATCAGCTCTTTACTTCACCACAAATGTAATTTTTGGTCTACTTTCCTTTTTTATGGTGGCATGTCATAGCATAGTTGGTTGAGGCACTATGCTACAAGCTGGAAGGTCGCGGGTTCGAGTCCCGACGAGGTGGATTTTTTCAATTCGCATAATCCTTCAAGCTGCACTATGGCCCTGGGGTCAGCTCAGCCCCTAACATAAATGAGTACCAGGAATCATCCTGGGGGTAAGGGGCAGTGGGCACATAAGGCTGACAAGCTTACCACAATCTACGAGCCTACTGTCTAGAGAAAATTTGGAAGCCTCAACATCTGATAACCCTTTAGGCCTTCATGACCCCTTAAAAGGATAGCTTTGCCTTTTTTTCCCCTTACTTGTGGAAAAAGTGAGCTTGTGGTATCACCAAGCTGTGTCCCTCCATTTGAACTAGTAAGTTCACCAAGCTGAACCTTTCTTAAGTAATTGCAGTTGTACAGCTACTCAAGAATTCCCAAACATTTTATGGAACCTGAAGGTTCATTAGTGTGATCACAAGAGCCCTCCACTGGTCCCCATCCTGAGCCAAATCAATGTAGTCCATACCATCCCATCCTTTCTCTCTAAGATCCATTTTTAGTATTATCCACTCACCTATGTCTTGGTCCTAGTGGTCTCTTCCCTTCTGGCTTTGCCACCAGTATCCTATATGCGCATTCCTCTTCACCACCATTTGTGCCCTGCCCATCTAATCCTCTGCGACTTAATCATACTAACTATACTCATACATGGCAAAGCGTACAAGTTATGAAGCGCCTCATTATGCAGTTTTCTCCAACCTCCTGTCACTTCATCTGTCTTTGGTACAAATATTCTCCTCAACACCCTCAGTCTGTTTTCCTTCTTTGATATCAGAGACCAAATTTCACACCCACAGTCAAAATTATAGTTTTGTGTATTATAATTTTTATGTTTTCAGACAGCAGACAAGAAGATAGAAGGTTCTGGACTGAGTGAATATGCCAAGCAAGAAACCAGCATGAAAGCAAGTGCCAAGTAAAGCTTCTTGAATCATCTCTTGTATCAATGAGTAGCAGAGCTGCCCTCCTTACACCCTTCTTTCACGCTTGTTTCTTGCTTGGCTTTTTCTTCAGCCCTGAAGATGGATGTGATATGTTCCTCTGAAACGTCAGTTGACTTTCAACAGACTGCGTGGTGTTATATACCAGAAACCAGAACTTTTCATAATCACCACTGTGAGAACCTCAAATCCCATGTATTTTAAGTTTATAAATCATGTTAAATTGAGTTCCAAGGAGAACTCATAAAGCCCACTTTCTCACTGCATCGTATTCTAACCTTACAGCTTTATCAGTATTATTATAGTGATTTGATTTTATTTTTGTGCAGAGTGTATTATTTAAGTACATTAGATCTTCTGAATGTGTCCTCTTAGTTTTGCACATTCGCAATATTTCATGATCTGTGTACACACCAAACTTCACATTTCAGTGGTTCGATAGATGTTGCATCTTGTAGTATCTTGCATTTAAAATCATCATACGTACATCATGTTGAACTTAAATTTTTTGGTATCCCATATTCTTTCAGTGTATACCATGTAATTCTTCTATTTATTGAATTAAATGCTCTTTCAAAATCTATGAAGGTCAAATATAACGTAGTTTGAAATTCATTACTTTGTTCTAGGATAATCTCAGTGTATTAATTAAGTTGTGTTGTGACTGTTGTAATAAAGAGGTTGTATATTGTAACACAACAGGATGCATGAAATGAAAATTAAGTCAACACAACTACGTTGGCAACGAAATGCAGCCTGTTCTTTACGAAGGCGTAGTTCAACTACGTTCGTAATTCTATTCAAAAGTATCCTAGAAAGCAATTTATTTGGAATACTTAGCAGTATTATTCCTCTCCAGTTATTGCATTTTATTATATCTCCTTTTCTGAGTAATTTGATTATAAGACCTTTCCAATCTGTTGGAAACTTCTCTTTTTCCCATATTACAGTTAGTAGAGGGTGCAGCAGATTTACTGGCGGTCAGTCTGTCTGTCTTGGTGTCTAGCCCCGGCCGGGGCTCATGACCAGATTTCTTTTCTTTTCGTTTTTTTCCTTATACGAAATTTACTGTCCCGTCCATTTGGGGTCCCCTCTCTGACGAGAGGTCGGGTCTATATTTGTCATAGTCCGTATTAGTAAGTCCATTGTCAGTATTTACATATATTTACAAATTTAATCATAATTTCGTATTTCTATGTGCAATATATACAATGCTTCTGTCAATCCAGGCTCAGTACAGCAGATTATGCCCTATTTCTAGTAGTATTCGTTTCCACGGCAGTCTAGTCACTTGAACGGTCGTATGCCTGACCGCCGCCAAGTTTAAGCCTCTTATACTTTCTGTGTCGCGCTTCGCCTTGTCCGATGTTGCGAACATTCTCATTTTCATGATTTTGTATGACTTCTGCTTGTTTCCTGCATAATTTTGTTATATGGTTGGCAACCAATGATTTTTTTTTGTCTGTGGGTTCCAATTCTCAGCAGTTAAAAGAGGAAAGTAGGAGTGCGAATTGCTGTTGAAACACCAGCGTGAAGTGCAAAAACGCAAACGAGATAAAAATGTGTCTTTAAAGCAATAACTATCATTTAATATTGCACAGTAATTGGATTACTGTATATTACAGCCACAGTTAGTTGAATGCTTGTGGAAGTGAAATGTAGTAGACGTTGAAGAATTTTGTCTGCAACTACAACGATGTCACTACCGCATGTTAAGGACTATACACTAGTCGAAAAGTTAGGTTCGGGTAGTTACTCAGTTGTTTATAAAGGCTTTAAGAAGGTATGCAAAAAAATCGTTTCGAACTGCGTGCCTTTAGCGTTTCATTTCAGAAGAAGGCAGCATGTCCGTGCAAAACATTAGTAACCAACTACTAGAATACAGTTTCATAACCCCAAAAATAACAATCTACATGTTCTGTCTAATTTTGGGAAAAGGAGGTCTGCATATGTTTTTCATTATAGCTTATTTTCATCTTAGTTGCATTATATTAGTTACAGAGTGTATGAAGTTTGTTTTATCGAAATTTAAAGTAAACTTATTCTATATGAATCTGTTGATAATTCTACATGACTATTAATGTCTCTGTGGTATAGTGCTTAAGTAATTAAACACAGGGAGAACTTCACTTTTTTTACCCTTACATGATTGTTCAAATCAAGTTCAGAAATTTTATACTCTTTATCATTCACAAATAGATGTACGTACATGAGATTTAAGGTTATCACAGCGGTAGTTATGGGCTAAAACGCTTTGTAGTCAGTTGAAAGTTAACCAACGTTTTGAAGGAACATTCCCCTTCCAATTTTGCTTTGCCTGGCTGCTTCATGGTGGTTTCTTGCATGGCTTACTCTTCATCCCTGAAGATGGAGGGAACATATTCCTCCAAAATATTAATTGACTTTCAGTATACTGTGTGACATATCCCACAATATTGAACTCTGAGATATACAGATAATTGAGTGGTCAGTCTAAGACACTAAAAGGAATGGATCCAGTATTGAGCCTTGGCAGATTCCATGTTGAAGTTTACCCCAGTTAGAATAAGCATTTTTGTGAAAATCTGGACATCTGATCACGACTTTTTATTATTTATTCATAAGGTATGATCTAAACCACTTGCACAACTATTCCATAGTAAGCTAGTTGCATCAGTATTCTTTGACTAACACAGTGAGAACCTTTGGCAGGATTGTAGAAAATTATACCCAATACATAAGTGCTTGCAATTTCATGAGTAAGTTTGTATGGAACATATAAATATTTTATTATAGCATTATATTGTGTTTATTGTTATTATGCTTCCATATACACAATCTATTTATAGATATGCAATACATTAAAACTTTACAACATGTTTCAGCCTTTTGGTCATCATGAGGTATTGTACATGTACCTTTGATTTATTTTTCTTCTCCCTACATTGGCCAGTGTTTACATATGTGTGAATTTTGTGTCATGTTATTTACATTATTTACATATTAGTGCAATGACCTTGTACTCATAGTTGCAATATTGGAATGTCAGATATGTGGTTATGACACTTCTTATTAGTTAAAATGCTTAAATCATATTCAACAAATATAAAATTGTTGAATAATGTAGTTTTTGTGCCATTCTGCTATCGTGTTTTATCATTCTTTCACTTGTGATCTGAAATATATATTGTTTTGTTATTGTGAGTGTATTATGGGCCATATATTGGGGTTGGTGTATTTGATGAGTATATTTCTTACTTTGTGTTTGTGATTGTCAGGCATGATGATATTTTCTGGTGACTCAAAGCACAGAATACATCTGTAGAGATAAGCAGTTAATTCAAAGGCTGAAACATGTTTTGAACTTTTAATGAATAGACTGTGTTGATGGAAGCAAAATAATAAAGAAATTGTGTGTAACTTTGTTATTGGATGGGCCATTTCTAAAACCAGACTGTCCATTAGCCAAAACCATTGGCTGATTCTGTGAAGGTAAAGTGGTTGTGGCATAAGCTGACCACCTAATTCATCTAATGCTGTGATTAAGAATGCATGAAGTGATACATCTATTTCCATATGTCTTCATAATATGGGGTCAAATTAAGCACGGACAGTTTTGCATTTTACCTTTACCATTACTGTTGGAAAGTAAATGAAATTACATTTTATGTTGAATATACAGTAGCTACCTGTTCATAAGCCATATAGACGTAATTTCCTCAGACTTAGTATGTAAAATATGCACCACAAGGTACATAAATCAGTTCTCCACTTGTTTGGTTTTGAATCATGATTTCTTTGAAGGAAGAACATGCATTAAAATTGCTTGGAAAATATTTGGTTCTGAGAAGGGCAAAGTGAGTAGGTAATTCAGGATCATACATTCTCAGGAACTTAATGATTTGTACAGCCCACCTAGTACTAATAACTAGGGAAAGTCTTTGGTATTAGCAGTGTTAAACCCTTGGATTATGCTACCAGAGACTTACATTGAGTTCTCTAACAGAACTGTAATTTTGCTTGCATCATTTGCAGATTTAAATCAGAATGTGTTTTCTTTTAACAGAATGGTCCAAGAGAGGTAGTTGCTGTAAAGTGTGTGGAAAGGAAAAGATTGTCAAGAACAGCAGTGAACAACATTGTGACAGAAATCACATTACTTAAACTGTTAAAACATGAAAATATTGTGCAGATGAAAGATTTTCAGTGGGATGAAAGGTTTGTATTGCATACAGAATTGCAAATAAAATATAGCAGTTCCCCACCAACTTTGGTTCCCCCCCCCCAAGTCCCTTGTACTGTGGCCACTTCTGGCCTATTGTACCAGCCCCAGATGATAGGTGAGGGTGATTGTGGAGCAATTAGTGGAATGAAGATTGGCAGGGGAAACCAAAGTACTTGGAGAAAACCTGCCCCAGCACCACTTTGTCCACCACAAATCCCACTTGACCAGACTCGGGATCAAACCCGGGCCACCACGGTGGGAAGCCAGCGACTAACGGTTTGAGCTATGGCACGGCCTTGGTTTTTTCTAACTACAGACTCCAAATATATATTGTTTCTCCTTTATATGTAGCGTTTCCAGTTGGTTTTGTACACACATAGAAAAGAGAGAGGCGCAATAGCTGTGAGCAGGGTTGCAATGGGATCCAAAACTACTGTTCTAGTTCCCATATTGCCATTGCAGTTAAGTTATTCTGTGGTATTTAGTTTTGCTTTCTTTCCTTTTTTGGAAAAATAAAATTAGGTTTATGGGATCACCTTCCTTCCTGTGTGTTTTTGTGTCTGTCCCCAACTCCTGAAAGATGGAATAGTGCAGTCAGAGAATCACCACGGAGATGGCCATTGCTAGACAACAGCTTAGTAATTAGGTCTTTCAGCTTAGGATTTTGCACACTGTGACTGACTGCTAACCATGGTTCTCAGTCAAAGTCAGAGTTACTTTACAACTGGCTGTTTAACACCAATCAGTTCGTCTTGACGTCAAGCAACTTCAGACCCACGACTAGCGATTTTTTCCCCAGCTGAACACACACGATAATAGTCCTTATGTACATCCTCTCTGACGAGTAGATGTGTTTGTCTTTTTTGAATATGCTTAGCCTTTTGTGAAATGTACATTTGTGCATATGAATGCACCATGACCTACAGTGATCTGCTAGTAGCATGTTACTGAAATATTCTTCCTTTTGCACTACATACAAATCCTCTTGTCAGTACAGTCTTTGCAGAGTATGTAATGCCCATCTTACATATCTTATGCTACATCAGCAGCTTGGGGGCGTGCGGTAGCCATCATCTATGAGCAGATTGTCTAGAAAATGTGGGAACCTCAACATCTCACAACCCTACGGGCCTCCACGGCCTGTTTCAGGGATACCTTTACTTTTTACTTTTACATCAGCAGCTTAGTCACCTGAACACGTGTAAGCTCGACCATTGCAAAATTTAAGCCTCTTATATTTTCTGTGTATGACTTAAGTTTGTCCTATACCACAAAGTGTTCATTCTCATGATTTTATATGACTTCTGCTTATTGCCTGCACAATTTTATTTATAATCATAAACATACAGAAGGTTTAAAGCTGTATGTAAATCATAGACCGGTGTGCACCATGGAAAATTTCCAGTGGTGCGCAGAACCTTATTTTGCTGCTGCTGCAATATGTTCTGAAGGCCTTGGCTTCAGTCATTGCTGTGTACAGTCCCCATGTAATCCTCTTATCGAAGATGACGCCGAGATATTTTACATGATTGACAGAGGGGATATTCCATCCAGTCAGTGTAAGATGAGCCTCAAGGGGACTAAGTCTATGAGAAAAGAAGATGGCCTTAGTCTGTTTTCATTGATTTTTGTGTTCCACTGCTCACACCACATCTCGATAGCACTGAGTCATATGATTACATAAATAAGAGGACCAATCAAAATGTCATTGATCATACCGCACCACACATTGGTAGAGAAACGATGCTGAAAACTTGTTTCCACAGTACCAAGTGGACTGTAGTGAGGCCATCGATGTGAGTTACGTGTGTCGTTGATTCCATTACGGGTTAAAGTAGCTTAATCAGTGGGTAGTATTAATGGAAGCAATTGGCAGTTTGTGTGTAACCAATGACAAGATTCTAGACACATGGCACTGTCCCCTGTGTATAGATGTAGCACACATTATGGGGGAAATGGATACAAGCCATCATCATGCAATATTTGCCATACACATGTTTGTGAAACACTGAGATGTGTAGAAAGTCTTCATGTGCTAGTTGTAGGGCTATGCTGTACCATTTTAAGAATGTTTTCCTGTTCTTCCACATGTTATTGATGTGCTTGTTCAGATGAAACATGAGCACCGGGAAGCATACGACACTCACAAAATGTATTGGACTCCTTGGAAAGCAATCTACGATCCAGAATTCTGAGCGTAGGAAACCACCGATGGTATTCTTTAACATCAGCAATGGTAATCCCATTGCAGAAGCCATAAATATACAGCATATCAGCGTATTCAGCATTTTTGTGCAGCATTTTTCACAGTACTCCTACAAAATGTGACTATCAACAGTCACAAAGGCCAACTGATGCTTCAGACGGATGTGCAGTATGGCAGGACATAATTGGGTGCCAAATCCATACTGCTGTACAGTGAAATAGCTCTGTCTCGGAAACCGTTCGGAATAGGACACATGTACATGTACATTTTTTTGCTTAGAATGACCAATAATGTGACCTCCCAGAATATATCTGTATATTAGTCTGGAAGAAAGCTGGACCATATGGAAAGCATTAGCTTTCTTATATCTATAGTAATTGTTCGCATTATTTGCGACAAAGTGAAGAAATGTCTCCTTCAGTACACATGGAGTTACTGACAGACAGGACACTGTACATGTAATGCCATCTTCATGGTTCATCAGGCTTTGGAACAGTGGGCAGGTGTACAGATTTTTGTCAGGATGGTTATGTTTATATATGCATATATTTATAGTCATGTGGTAAGTTAAAAGTTTGTCAGTGCAGTTTTGTACAGAATTAATGGAAAGGGAAAGCTATAGTTTGTGAGTCTAGACATTTCATTTTCTATTTTTTCAGATATATTTTTATTATTATGGAGTATTGTGAACATGGAGATCTGTCACATTTCATACGCAAACGACGAAAGTTACCTGAAGCAACATGCAAGAAGTTCTTGCAACAGCTTGCCTTAGCTTTGAAGTTTCTTAGATCTCATAATGTGTGCCACATGGATCTTAAACCACAGAACTTACTACTAACCTCCACACCAAACCTGACGCTAAAATTGGCTGGTAAGTATCTGAAGTTTGTTGTATGGTTTCAGTTTTTGGGACTAGGCCTTATTGAATGTTGAGGGTTTTCTTTTAGTTGCCATTTTCAGGATTAATGACTGTGGGAGGCGTTTGGTGGCTCTTATATAGCTCTTGAATTAAGCATTATGTTGGAGGTGAAGCCATGATTGGACGAATGGAGGAGTATCCATGTGGCTAGTGAAAAGGTGTAATGAAAAATGTTTCACCTCTTTTCACTAATCACATGGACACACCCCCATTGGTTAGCATCATGCTCCCTTGTTCATTCGGTCATGGCTTCACCTTGAACATAATGCCTAATGCTAGAGCCATATACAAGTAAGAGCTACCAAACCTCTCCCAGAGTTGTTAGTCCTGTGGGTGGTAACTGCAAGGTTTGTCAAACATAACATAACAAAATGTTAAAAGATACTCAACATTGAACATGGCCTAGTTGTGAAAGCCAAAACCACACATCGAGTATATAGTTATTAACTTACATATTTGTGTACACCACATCTGATAAAGCTCAAGCAAAAAACACTGAATATAGATTCTGTTAAAATTAATTATTATATCAATCTCCTGACTAGAAGTATTGTTGCATGTTACTAAGAATTACAGTATAATATTGTATTGTAGCATCCTGTTGCACTGTGTCTACTTTTTATTCAGATATTCGCTGCTGTCTTGCAACTCGCATTAAAAGTTTTAAACATGGGGCACATATGTGGGATTATAACTGATACAATGGACTTCATAAAAACAGAAAAAGGGAAAGCATTTAAACTCATTATAAAAATGCCATATATACAAAATCGGTAAAAACAAGCAACACATGAACGATACATATACAGGTTGTCCGGATGAAGGGTATCCAAAATAAAATCGTTATATCTCAGAAAGAATTTATTATACACATTAATGGGCTACACCTTTACAAAAGGAAACTATCAAAGTTTTTTCTGCATATATAACTTTCGCAATAAATTTAAATGTGAGCTCCCTAGGTGGCACAACAAATATCCAGGCTTGAAGCATGTTTGGTGTTACCATAGCCACAGCGTCCCTTATGCGGGCTTTCAGGTGTTGAAGGTAATTGATCTTAACCTGGTAGACAATGTTCTTCATATAACCCCATAAGAAAAATCCTCTGGGGTTAAATCTGGCAACCTAGGAGGCCAAGTGATTGGTCCACCTCTGCCAATTCATATCCCAGCCATCTCTGTCCAGGTGATTCCTAACATGGTGGCAAAAATGTGGCGGCATATGCGCATAAGCCGGGTACGAAAAAAAAGCTTTCAGAATTTTCCTTCCCAATGACACAAAGCAGATACATGTATGACAATTAGTTTTCGAGATACAAATTCTTTATTTTGGATACCTTTCATCTGGACATCCTATATTAATACGAAGGGCATTCAAGTTCTAAGGTCTCCGATTTTTTTTCTCAGGACTGGGAGCAGATAGACACATGCGGTTTAGTTTAAAATACATGTGCACTCTTTGTGAATGTGTGACAGAGATGGCAGCACTGTACGGCACACAGAACTCTAGTGGTGGCGGTGAGAATGAAGAGTGTTTTTGATACCTAAAATGGCGATGTTTTCGTTACAAGAACAGCGAGTAATCAGTTTTCTCCACTTGCGTGGTGCGACACCCATTGAAATTCATCGCCAGTTGAGTGAGACGTGTGGTGATGGTGTCATGAATGTGAAAAATGTGCGTTCGTGGGTGCTACAGTTCAAAGAAGGCCGAACGTCATGTGACAACGAACCAAAACTATCTCAGCCTCGCACCAGCTGGTCTGACAACATGGTCGAGCGAGTTGAGAAAGTTGTTTTGGAGGATCGCCGATTGAGTGTGGAAAACATCGCCTCCAGAGTTGGCATTTCCATGGGATCTGTGCATACAATCCTGCATGAAGACCTGCAAATGCAGAAAGTGCCCTCCAGGTGGGTGCCACGAATGCTGGCGGACGACCACAAGGCTGCGCGCATAGCAATTTTTCCAGGCGATGTTGACACATGATGAAGGCATGAATGGGACTTTTTTTCATCATTTGTGACAATGGATGAGACATGGATGCCGTTTTTCAATCCTGAAACGAAGCACCAGTCAGCTCAATGGAAGCACACAGACTCACCGCCACCAAAAAATTTCAGGTAAGCGCCAGTGCTGAAAAAAATGATGGTGGCCATGTTTTGGGACAGCGATGGCGTAATCCTTACTCATTGCGTTCCAAAGGCCACTACGGTGACAGGTTCATCCTACCAAGATGTTTTGAAGAACAAGCTCCTTCCAGCACTGCGAGAAAAACGGCCGGAAAATGCTGCACGTGTGCTCTTTCACCAGGACAATGCACCAGTGCATCAGACGTATGCGACGCAGCAGTTTCTTCGTGAAAACAACCTTGAAGTGGTTTCTCATGCTCCCTACTTGCCTGACCTAGCTCCTAGCGATTTTTGGCTTTTCCCAACGATGAAAGACATTCTCCATGCTCACACATTCACCAGTCGTGCCGCTATTGCATCAGCGATTTTCCAGTGGTCAAAACAGACTCCTACAGAAGCATTCATAGTGGCCATGGAATCATGGCATCGACGTGAAAAATGTATATGGCTGCAGGAAGATTACGTTGAAAAGTGACAAGTTTCAAATTTTTTGTATGATTATTGTGTGAGAAAAGAAATCGGAGACCTTAGAACTTGAACGTGATATTTGAAACAGTTACTCACCCATAGAGCTGAGACCTTCTTGAGAAACTGTCAATTGTGCAGCTACTCAAGAACTTCCCAGCATTTTATGGAACTTTCTCAAACCTTTGGTCACTTCATCTCTCTTTGGTACAAATATTCTCCACAACACCCTGTTCTCAAGCACCCTCAGTCTGTGTACCTCCCTTAATATTAGAGACCAAGTTTCACACCCATACAGAACCACAGGAAAAATTATAGTTTTGTATATTCTAATTTTTACGTTTTTAGACAGCAGACAAGGAGACAAAAGATTCTGGACTGAATGGTAGCAAGCATCACCTGAATTCAGTTTCCTCTTAATTTCCTCCAGAATCGTGTTTTGATTTGTGATCTTCATTCCCAAATATCTGAACTGTGCCACATTTTCAAAGGCTCTATAAGTTATCTCTGTGTTATGATTTTACATAGTTCACTTGCGGTCTAAAATCATGGAGAGTTCTACTGATGACACATCAACATACAAGTATACTTAGTTTATACTTAGTTTTTAGCAGATAAAATCAATCTTAAATGTTTTCATATCAGGGCACAAATAATTTCATGTTCTATACCAAACATAACATGCTTTCAGACACTGTCAAAATGGAAACATGAAGCTGTAGGAATTTTTATCATGGATAAAAAAGAATATGTTTATTCTTCACTTTCATAGTTTGTTCAGCATATTATGTCAGTACAAATAGTTACATAATTAGTTGTGCAGTACCAATCAGTTCAGTTTCACTGCTTGTAATAGAAGTGCTAAATATCAGCCAACATTATGCCTTTCTTTCGTTCTATTAGCTTGAAAAGTACATGGATGCGCTAATTGCTGTTTTAACATTAAACAGAACCACTGAAGAAGGTACTGTTGTTTCCCCATGTACCCAGTCAAGGGTCAAGTTTCTTTTTTATGTATATACTTCAGATAACAGTATTCGGATATAAATGAAAAATCTGACCTGGTTTGTTTGATCATTCCAGAAGGAAGTCATAGGGCCTACACTCTACTCTCTGAGAGAAGCTCATTTCATATGCAACCCAACAAGTGCTAGTTGATGTACAGCATCAAACACTTCCCTCTTCATTCTTGCACATTGTATCTCCTGCAGCCAGATGGTGCTGATGGTATGAATGCACCTACCTCCGTCAGACTTCACAATACCATTGCAAGCATATACCTGTTGGGGGTTGCCTCTGATCTGGATACTGCTTCATGCAATTCTGACTTTTCCATTATAAGCCATACATGAAACGCATATTAGAATACTCCACATTACTAAATCGTACAGTCCTGTTTTGCTGTTATCAGTGATTTGCCATCAAATTTAATGTGAATCATAAATGAATGCAGTAAGTGCTCCATCTAGGAATGTTATGAAGGCTCCATTACACGAACATCCAAAAAAGCCAAGACTGAAATTCTGATATCTGTATCTTTGCTTGGAAAAATTTGTATGTGTTCTATTCCAAATTATCACTCAGCAACCTCCAAATACTAGGCTATAGGTCTTTGAGTCACCTTGTATATTCTAACAGGTTCGTGCCTTTGTTTTCGTTCTCATTTCTTCCTTTTCATAGAATTGGATGCTGGCTGATGGACTGTTATACGTACTTTCTGATCAGATGGTGTCATGCTGTCACAAGGATCTAATTGGAGGTTACATCTGTGCTTGTTAAATATAATTTTACTTACCTGATATTACATTAGCTGTTGAAAGTTATGTCTTTGACATCTAAGCACATTCCTCCAGACAAGACCCACACACATTCAGAGCCAGCATATATAAACACATGAGTCATGCCTTAACATAAAGGGACTTCTGCCACGGTTTATTTCTGTGAGTCATTACATGTTTCTTCTAGTGACCAGTCATTTATGAGTATTATTTGTATTCATGGTGTCCAACCATAGTATGCTGCACTGGAATTACTTATAAGCTTTTTCAGCAGGACCTTGTGCAGGCAAACACTGCATAAAATGTAATGTGAAGTGTGCAAGTTAATATTTGGAATCAGAATGCATCCATTGCTATACAATGGCTAGCAATTCCTAGGCAGCGAAGCCTAGGAAATTATTGCCCCACAAATGAAAGTCTAACAGTGGTGTTTCCACTGTTACAAACGAATTGTTTGAGGCAGACATGTATTCCCACGTTCATTGCATAACAACATGCAGAATTAACCCTTTGACAAGGTACTCCCTATTCAGTCCAAGAGCAAGTTATAACAGTCCACGTCGGCCAGAGACCACCAGAGTTTGTATTCGACTTTAGCAGCAGAGTTCTTATCCGACAAGAGCAGAAGTGTTGTAACACTGAAGGAGAAATGTCTAAAGGACGTTATAAGTGGAGAATAACTGTAAGTGTGAGTGTAAAAGTGACTGTCCAATAAAGGCATTCATTGAAATCTGAGAACCCACGCAATTTCTTGTTGCATTGCATAGCAAATGTGCAACATTCTTAATGATGCAATATTGAATTATCATATAATGTAAGCATACCGGATTGAAGAAATTATGCACTACATTAAATTTTGAATATCAGTTTAAAGTGACATCTCCAAATAATTATTTGTAAGACCAAGATTATATTTCATGCACTTTCTAGATTTTGGACTTGCCCAGTACTTGTCTGCAGAAGACCAGAACAGCTCTCTGAAAGGCTCTCCGCTTTATATGGCACCCGAGATAATATTGAAGCATGAGTATAATGCCCAAGTTGATCTCTGGTCTGTTGGAGTTATCATGTATGAATGCCTTTTCGGAAGAGCTCCATATTCGTCAAATGACTTCAAAGAGCTGGCTGAGAAGATAAAACTGCAGATTCCTATTGAGGTAGTTTTTCATAATCATGCATGAACCACTCTCATATTGCATCTGTATATTAGAAAATTTTAAAAAATTGAAATTGATTGTTTAAGGCTTTCGCAGTTGTTTGATACTAATGTTGATCCTGTTTTGGGGTGGTAGGTCTATGTAGAAGTTGGTTGTGTTGCTGATTTTTTAAGAGATCCATACTACAGTGTACTTCTGCTGATTTCTTGCTTGGCTTACTTTTTGACCCTAAAAATGGAATTAATGTATTAATGTATGTGTAGGGGTCTCTCCAAATAACACAGCATGACAAGCCAGAAGACCATACTCTTCACAGTGACCACTGCCAGAACCTCAAATACAGTTCTAGAAACTGTTATGCTGCCTTGAGGATCGGAGAAAACCCACAGCTAGCCAGTCCATGGCAAAGATTAAAATCAGGCATACGTAGATGCATAACCAAAGTAGTAACCTGCTCAGAACTAATCAATTGAAACTGACATTTGTTAACAGGTTCCTCCTGGATCACAAATATCATCATCTTGCAGAGACCTTTTGATGTCTCTTTTGCAGCATGATCCAGAGAAAAGAATAAATTATGAAGCTTTCTTCAAGCACAGTTTTCTAGATTTAGAGCATATGCCAACACCTGAGTCATATCAGAAAGCTGTGGATCTAGTATGCAGTGCTGTCAGACATGATGCAGAGAATAATTATCTAGAAGCTTTCACCCTCTATATTGAATCATTACAGTACTTCATTCCATTAGTTAATGGTAAGTTACATTTGATGATTCCATAAAGGTATATGGCAAGGGTTATTTCATGTCACTAGAATTATATTTGAAATTTTCCATTCATGGTCTCTTAATTAATTTTCAGTTTATTTAACAACACTTTCAATAACTCAGCCTTGATAGCACCAAGTGAAAGCACTTACTGAATAGTGAATTGGAAAGGTTGTAGAAGTAAACAGTCTTATCCTAATTTGATATACTATCCCAGCATTTGCCTGGAGTATCTTAGGAAACCCATGAAAAATCTTAACCAGTGTCTGGAGCAAGATTTTAACCCAAGACTTCCCAAATGTGAAGCAGGATTGTCATAAACTGAACACACCACTTTTGGTAATGTCTGTTGGCTGATATGTATTTATGTACATTTTGGATGTTAAATTTACTTCTGTTTTCAGGTAATTGACTGCTGCTATACTAACAGATTTTATAGTGGCCTCCGTAGTCTAGAGGTAATGTTCCCACCTCATGACTCGTAGTACACGGGTTCAAACCCGGCGGAGGTCGTGGAATTTTTAAGGGTGGAAAAATTCAGGGAACAAGTCCTCCGGGAGGGACTTTAAGCCATGGGTCCTGTGTCGTAGCTTTACGGCGCGTAAAAGAACTTCATATCTCCTAAGGAGATCACTGAGCCAAATTCAAGGACATTTCCCGCCCAACAGTAGTCTCTAACACCTCTGATAGATGGGGGAAGCATTATAGATACCGCCAAGCCAGTAGAGACCGAACTCGCTGGCTTGGTCGGGACTGATGGTAAGCACCAGTATCGGTAGGGTATAGAGACTGGTAGAATATCATAGAGGGAAGCACAATAGATCAAACTGGTCGCGGTGCATGGGGAAACCCACCCTCTCCAATAACTAACTGACTAACAGATTTTTATTATATCTATGTAATGATGGTGGAAGTATTTTGGATTAGATGTGATATCTTCTGGGTTAACCCTGCTGTGTAGTGGTTAACATTAATTGTCATGCTGCATAAGCAACACACAACACTATTTTAAAAATTCAATTTTTAACTATATTATAATGAAACTGTATTGATGATATGGCTGGCCAGTGTGTGTGGAATGGCAAGGTGTGAATGTGAATTTGACAGTGGTTTTTCCATGGCCTGTGTATATGGTCTTGACAACTTGTGCTGTCTGTGTGAGGCCTGACTATACATTTTATTGGACCAAGGACGTATGATGTGTAGTCATCATGAATTTGTAAAATGTGACATGTTTTATGTCCAGCCCTGTGGGGAGATGATTGGATCCATGAAGTGAAAATAAATGTAAATGTAAATGTAGTCTGCTCTCAGACACTCCACACCTGTGTTCTACCTTTAAAGTGAGAGACCAGATTTCACACCCATACAGAACAATGTGTAAAATTATCATTTTTGTATTTTAATTTTTGGAATGTGATACCATGTATGTTACGAAATGTCTACTAAGGTGGGGTCAAAAGTCCTACGGTAGGATGCTAATGGGCCAGGTAGGTCATTAATGCCTGTTTTATTTAACACATAATACAGTAGTATTTAATTCTGATATAAAAAATAAAGAAAATACAATGGACCTAGTAGATGGTCCTCAATACATAAATACACAACGGTGAGGATCCAACTCTTTCGTTCTGCTGTATCCTAGGTAGCCCATCCTTTTGTTAATTTTGTAGAACTTAATTTAGTAAGATATGGGGCCTCCCCAACCTGATTGGGGTCAAATAACTTGGTAAGGCCGAATTTATTTACTTACAGTCCGTTGGCCCAAGTTCGAACCCCCCCCCTTTTCGTTCAAGATAGGGCCCACTAGGGTGTCCTCAACTCCCTGCCGGCTGCTCCTGCTGTTCCTTTTTCCACGGTGTCGTCGCTGCCAGAGGAGCCTACGCTACCTCTATCTCGAGCGTCTCGTTACCCACTGCCTTGTACACTACTGCCCCCCCCCCAGACATAAGGGTGTGGGGCCGCGTATACAGGACTGTCAAGTGTCTTCCACAGGCAGTGTTGCTACATCACCGATGCTTTTCAAAAGTAGCCTCGACAGGAGCATCACGCTCGTAACATGTAGTCTGGCAGAAATTTTGAAGTCCTGTAAAACATGAGTAAATATTGCATGGCATCCTCTAAAACAGTATACTTCAGTCACAAACATGAGAATCTCAGCTCTCACATAATTACTGTGTTTATTAGAGAGACAGGAGACTGGATGTTCTGGGTGTCTGCACATAATTTCTTCATTAATATTGTGTTGATTTGTTAGTCATACTAATTGGTTGCAATGATCTTACTTACTTACTTACTCATGGAGTTGAGCCCTTCTGGAGGAGCTGCCAATTCTGCAGCTACTCAAGAATATCCCAGCATTTTATGGAACCCGAAGGTTCATTACAGTGTTCACAAGAGCCCTTCACTGGTCCCTATCCTAAGCCAGATCACTCCAATCAATACTGTCCCATCCTGTCTGTCTAAGATCCATTTTAATATTGTCCATCCACCTATGCCTTGGTCTTCCCAGTGGTCTCTTTCCTTCTGGCTTTCCAACCAATATCCTATATGCATTCCTTGGCCCCCCCATTCATGCTACATGTCCTGCCCACCTCATCCTCCTTGACTTGATCATTCTAATTATACTTGGAGAAGAGTACAAGTTATGAAGCTCCTCATTGTGCAGTTTTCTCCAACCTCCTGTCACTTCATCTCTCTTCGGTCCAAATACGTATTCTCCTCAACACTCTGTTCTCAAATGATGCAATGATGTTATATTATATAAATGAAGTCCTTACTTTTAAGCTGAAATGGATGTCAAGAAGAAGGCTGCAATGCGCAGCAAAGTAAATGAATACATTAAACGTGCAGAGGACCTTAAAAGGATAATATATGCCAAGGAAGACAGTGGAGCAGGAGGCCAACTGCAAACTTACGAGAAAATAAGATTGGATGCTACTGAGTTAAGTATGTTGAATGTTATGTTCTTTTACAATAACATTCTGATACTTTAGGGTCTCCTATAGTATGCTGGGTCATTTTAACTTTCTAAAAACTTGTACTCTTTATATTTTATGAAAAACCGTTTATTCTATGAATGTTGAACTAAATGACTTCTCAAAATTTTCAAGAACATTTTCTGATATGTTACATATGAAATTAAAAACTCTTAATATAGTACTAGAGTCACACTCTGATCGTCAGATACAGTTTGAAAATATCATTTTGAGTTTGTATTTTGTCAGTGTATCCCCAATATTAAATAAAATCAGAATCCGTAGTCATAACAAACTTTTCATTCCAGGCCAAAATTTTGGTTTTGTATGAAATACACTGTGTAACCTTTTACCTTCTTGTGGAGGCTTTCTTAACTTTGTTCTGTCACTGGGTTGAATGAGAGGTTAGTACCTTTACCTCAGGTAGAGGGCCCCTGATGCCCATTTGATAGCAGGTTTTCCTTTAAAGTGCCTGTCAAATTGTCCAATATGGTCAAAATTAAATTTGTACAATGAATGGCAAGAACATGATGATCAGTTCTGCAAAAGGGGATTTCTTTTTCTACATATAGTAAAGACAGTAACAGTAGACAGTTTTCTTTGAACTTTAAAGAGCCGGTGCCCCAGACAGTTTGATATCTGAAGTGTTTAGTTACAGATGTTGAGAACCCACAGATTTGATCTTTAAGTTCATTGTTTTTAATTGCATTTTTAAAGGTTTTTGTTAGATGTTCTATTAAAACTCTGTGGTTGTGGCAGTGGGCCCAGTTATGGAATGCTTTTGTACCTTTTTAATTTACGTTGAATTATTTAATGTAGCTAGGTTAAAGTTGGTCGAGACCTATGATTCTCAAGGGAGTGAAAACTGTGATCTTCTGGCCTGTGTCACCATATTGTCTGATATTTATGTGCCATAATCATAGAGGCACATTCTGCCTCCATTTTCTGGGTAGAAGTGAACCAAGTTGAGAAAGTGTCTGGTATGTAGAAGAAAGGTGAAAAAAAAATGGGTCGCGATTGATACCAGTGACAAATCAGAGTGATGAAGGAGAAGAAAATATGAGGCACCATTTCATCCTCCTTGACTTGATCATTCTAATTATACTTGGTGAAGAGTGCAACAATTTTTGTAGTTTTGACCATTTGTCCAAAGAATCCATCCAAATCTGAGGTCCTCTGTAACATTTTGTAACAAACTTGTTTTTTATGGTGAGGAGTTGGTAGCCCCACCCCACCCCACCCTCCCAAAGCTGGAGGACCACACTTTGTCTGCTGTCCATAACTCCTAATTCAGTGTATTCTCAGCTACCTTCCATATCTGGAAGCCATCTCCTCCATCCACAACCTGAGGACATGCCATGCTGTGGTGACAGGGAACCCACCTAGCTTGGATTGAGTAGATACTAGATTCTGGATTCACACTTTTCTCACTAGGTGGCAGTGCATATGTGTGGCTGATGAAAATGCACAATGAGTGCAGTATTATGAAATTATATCAATACAGTGACACTTCAATTTTACGATCTCAAATTTTACATTTTTCTGGATTTATGCACTTTTTTATGGTCCTGGTGAAATACCCATAACAGTAATATTAAACTTTAATGGGTTTTAGGTTTCTGAAACTTTACATTTTCCATAAATTTGCACTTTATTTTTCAAGTCCTGGCTACAAGAATTTGCCCAGTTTTATGGACAACAGACCTTCCCTGTTAGCAGTCACAAGTAGTTTGAAAATGCATATCATATAGCTGATCCACAGGTTTAAGTGATTCATGCATGCACCCTGTGTCTCACTACTACATAGAATGCATGAGCAGTTATTTCCTGTGCTGCAGTCCAAACAGCAGGCAAGTGCCATAGGCCAGCTTTGAACCTGATGTGTCCTGGTGTAAGAGTAACTAAGCAAGTGTAGTTTGTCTGTCCCATGTATCACAAGTTTGCCAAAGATGACCATTACAGCACAGCAACCACTGTGTTTTCATAAGTGAAAACATCTAACAGATATGCACCCAGGTAAATTATTCAATTTTCCTATGCCCAAATGACTTAACTCCTTAAAGACCAAATTTTATTATAGACTAAGATGAATTTCATGGCAAGAGGATGAAAACCTAAATCATTTACAATAAGTAATATAATAAATATTTTAACACAAGTTGATACACATACTGGAACACATGTTGAACTGGCATCATGCTTGGGAACTCAGTGTCCACACTAAACATCGCTGAAATGTTCGTCACTGGAGGAACTGGAATCTGCACTTGCTGCATATTCCAAGCAAGCATTTGAGAATAATGCTTCCATAGATGGCACCCACCTCAAGGAGAAGGACTTACACATCTCTGCTTGTCTGGAAATAGCCAACTTTTCTTCTTCCAATGGTAGAATCAGCAGATTTAACATGGGACACAGTATTGCTTACAGAAATCTATCAGGAGATACCAGACATGTTGATTCAGAAACTGTAGAAGACTGGAAAAATTGACAAATGATGGAAGAAATTGAAGATTATGACCTCTATGATGAAAATAATGCTGATGAGACAAGTCTATTTTTCATTCTACAACCTTGCAAAACCCTCACTTTTTAAGACACTTTTGCCATGGTGGTACAAGTTCTAAATAGGTGGTTACTGTGCTTCTCACATGCAATGAAGATGAAAACAAAGAAGTCCACATTGCTTCAAGAATGTCAAGAGACCACCTGTAAAATATGAAGCAAACACAAATTCTTGGATGACCACCACAATATTTTATTATTACCTCACACAGCTAGGTAGAAAACTGGGATGTTGTGACCCAAGTTTACACTGTGCTCTATATCTCATTTATCTTGATTAAATAGACTATGTTCCGGTACTACTCTGACCTTCATATCAGCTGAAAATCTTGTCTGTCAAGTGTAAACTGTCTGTATTTACAAGGAGATACTGTTTGCATCCATTGTTTCTACATCCAGTCACAGGGTGAAAGAGACTGGATGACTAACCCTAAAAACATTGTGCATTTCTGGGATCCCCTGTAAATGCATGACAGTATATATTAGGGTGAGATAGGACAGTCAGCAATTTAATGCCTGGATAAATTGGCCATCACAGGAAATGGAAAACAACAGATTCATCACTTTCTGCTGCAGAACATTGGTAACCTGTCCAAGAAAACCAGATGAATGGGTTGGATCATCAGGGAACATCATGAACAGGGAAGGTGGATTCTGCCTAGGAAAGTCAGAAAAATTTCTTATTTACACCACAAAGCAACACATGAATGTTTTTATTTGGCTTCTCTGTGCCTGTGGTTCTAGAAGTTGCTCTTTCTTCTCATTCTTCCATAAACCTGAAGAGGGCTGTCTTGTTTTCCTTCTGTACACTGTTTGTGTGAAAGGGTGGATGTCTTCATTTCCCCACTTATAGCTCTAGGTGATGCCTCCTATTCTCTGTGACCCATTTCTTTTCTCCCTTCTGTGTAACCAATCACTTTCACAAGCTAACTTACTTGTACCTTTGCAATTGACATAATATGTTCTTTAGAAATGGTGGTCTTACTTCCAGACTACGTGTGTTTACATGTTTATGTACATAATACTGAGCCATTTGTCTTTTAAGTTGACTTCTTTAATTCTTTTTTGCTAGGTCAGTTATGTAATGCAACTCCTGCAATAGCAGCAGCATTAGAAATTGGCTCTTCAGCAGAACAGTATGTATCAGAGGGTCATTATCAGAGTGCTCTAGATAAATTTCAGTCATGTCTTGGCATTTTGATACCCTTGCTAAATAATGAACCAAAGGGACATAGACGTGATCTTCTTTACAACCAGATTCAACTTTGGATGACACAGGCTGAAAGTACAAAAGCACTGCTACATGTTGCAGATTTTAAAGATGCTGTTATTCCAGATAACACAGGTAAATATTGCTCTGAAATTATTATAAAATGATTTGACAACGCCGTCCAGTGTGACTCAGTATACGTATATTCATATACAGTGCCTTTACATGTTTCGGTCAGTTGTGACCATCTTCAAAAGGCAATAACAACATGCTAAGGTAGTGGTATTACATAGATCATAGTACATATGCGTAAACTTTCATATAAAGATTCATAATTATTAAAGTTAAAAGGTGTTTAAGTTAGTGATATATTATTAATGTTCTTAATATTTAAAATCTTGAACTGCTGAGGTTTGTGTCTCTGTGCCTCTTCTGTCAAAACAGGAGATTTGGGTGTTATTTGCCATCCTCTGAGGTCTGGGCAGCATTGTTTTCCCCTTTTTTATGATTCGTTAAGGATCTGCAATTATAATATGGGTATTTGTATATAAAAGTGTATGTACTTTTTTAATAGCAGAGATGACATGACATTGTAAACAGAACTTTATCCTTTCACCAAGACAGTGACCCTCTCAACAGGACTCCCAACAGGAAAGGCTAATAGCTCTTAACAGAATTCCTTTGCCATAGATGCTGTAGGCATGCTTTAAATGAAGGGGTATTTTAGCATCACAGCATTGCAACACTATGCTGTACATATGCCATTATAATAGTATGAAATGCAGGCAATAAAGATCTGCACTGCTCTATGTCTTGAAAAGAAAGAAATATAAACAGTTGACATCCAGATGTTTTGTAGCATGTATTAAGACAGGAAACTTGAAATGTAAAAGTTATTAATGGGATTTTTTTCTTCTGTATTTTCAGGATCTTGTCATATCCATTGACTCCTCAAAAGCTGCGCAAAATCTAGTCAATATCATAAACATCTACGAGTTTTAAATTCTCATTATCTGTTGATGATACTGTGCTTTGCTAATGTGTGCATATGGATCACAACCAGCAGCAGATTTATTCTAGCAAGGAGGAGCTTCTCACATTATTGCTCTCCGTTGGCCTTGTTGTTATTGTAGCTTATTGTTAAATCTCTGTTATGAATTGAACAATTATAATCACAAAGGTACAAATATTAAAGAAAGAAGAAAATAAACTCATTTCAGAAAATTCCTACAAACCATTTTCTTAAACTGAGGGTGTTTGAGAACAAGGTGCTGAGGATAATATTTGGACCAAAGAGGAATGAGGTGGCAAGAGGATGGACAAAACTGCACAACGAGGAGCTTCATAACTTGAGCTCTTCTCCAAGTATAATTAGAGTGATCAAGTCAAGGAGGATGAGATTGGCAGAGGATGTAGCTTCAATGGGAGAGAAGAGAATTTTGGTAGAAAGGCCAGAAAGAAAGAGACCAAGATGTAAGTGGGTGGATAATATTAAAATGATCTTAGAGAGATAGGATTGGGTGGTATGGACTGGATTGATCTGGCTGAGGATAGGGACCAGTGGAGGGCTCTTGTGAACTCGGCAGTGAACCTTCAGGTTGCATACAATTTTTGGATATTCTTGAGCAGCTGCACAAGTGGCAATTTTTCAAAAAGGGCTTATCACCTCTGAGTTAGTTTTAGTTTGTTTGTTTGTTTGTTTGTTTGTTTGTTATATTTCTAGTTGGAATGTGCAAGATTTTTTTTCCCAGTTTAAGGCAAGAATTTAGATATGAATTAAATATAATTTATTAACATGGTCACTGTTTTTGCAATACACCAACATGTACTATTTAATCCTTTTGAAATCAGTTTCTTTTTCAGTGACAAATTTTCACAAATAATTTTGTTGAAAAAATCTGGGGCATGTATTTTTTTCACCATGAGCAGAAATATAAAGAGAGGGGCAGAAATTGCTGACAAGATAATTCATGCTAGTGTGCCCAGCCAGCAGATTTTGTGCCGCCTGTCTATCTTGATGAGGAGGTTCTTGATGTCGTCCAGGGTTTGTTCGTGGCTTGCTGTGTTGTTTTCACACTCTGCCCCATACAAGAAGGACGATAGGAGTACGGACATGAACCTACATGGTTTAAAAAATTTTAACTATTGATGATAAAGGTTTTATAAATAACATCTAGAAACTTTTAAAAACTTTACACCAGGAAGCTGCTGTGATTGTGAAGTGTTCGACTTTAAGCGTACTGTGCATTATAGGATAAGCGTACCGTGCATTATAGGATATAAGTGTATGTATTTTAAATCAAAACACCTATTGTGATGGTAGTTTCCAGTTTGTAATGATGTTCCCTCTGAAGATGGCCCATAAGGACCGAAACATGTAAGGGAGATAAGTTTTAACGTAGTAAAAACTTATATGTCGCATTGGACGGAGTGGTTTGTATTTATAGTTTTCTCTGTGTTTATTTCTAGACCAACCTCCTTACCAGCATCATTAAAGTTTGTATGTTTCTCTCTATGGTATCTATATTATCACCCAGTAGATTCACATCATCAGCATAGACCAACAGCTGATGTGTCCCATTTCATTTCAGTCCCACCTGGTTTTCTTGGACCTTCCTAATGGTATATTCTAAAGCAATGGCAATAAAGCATCTCCTTGTTTTAGACCATTCTGGATATGAAAATTATCAGACAAATGTTTATCTATATGGACTTTACCATACATTTCATCTAAACACAATTTAATCAGCCTGGACTGGTTTCATGTGTATCCCAAACACTAACAGAATACTATACAATACTTCCCTCCTAACTGAATCGTAGGATTTCTTGAAGTCTATGTACTGTCTCATTGTACTCCCATTTTTTTTTGTCCTGTATCTGACAAATGCAAAAGATCTGATCAGTAGTTGATCTGTTACATTGAAACCACACTGATGATCCCCAATAATTTCATCTATGTATGGACTTAACCTTGAGAGAAGAATATTGGATAAAATTTTGTATGAAGTTGATAGCAGTGATATTCCACAATAATAATTATAGCCAGTTTAATCACCCTTTTTATGAACTGGTACAATAATAGACTCCTTCCTCTGATCAGGCAATTTTTCCTTATTCCTACTAGCATTAATTGGCATATGGATTATTATATATTTTAGATTATTTCACATCCTGCTTGAATAAGTTCTACTGGAATTTGATCAATACCTGGTGATTTATACCTTTTCAATTTTGCAATAGCAATTTCAACCTCAAAAGGGCTAGGATTGTGTACTAACAGCTCAGCTGTGTGTATTTCTATCTGCCTAACACCACTGACCCTATGTACATTCAATAACTGAGATAAGTAGTTCTTCTGCCTTTACAAAATGTTGTGGAATCTGCAAGGAGATCACCATTCTCATCGTTCACTAAGTTACTTCTAGGTTAGCGGCCTCCTTAGTCTAGGGGTAACGTTCCCGCCTCATGACTCAAGGTACGCGGGTTCAAACCCAGCGGAGGTCGTGGAATTTTTAAGGGCGGAAAAATTCAGGGAACAAGTCCTCCGGGAGGGACTTTAAGCCATGTGTCCCATGTAGTAGATTTACGGCACGTAAAAGAACCTCATGTCTCTCGGAGACCTCTGAGCTAAATTACAGGCCCTTTCCCGCCCAAGTAGTCTCCAGTGCCTCTGGTGGATGGGGGAAGCATCACGGTACCAGGGGCCGACCTCATTGGCTCTACGGGGGCTGATGGCACGCACCGTTACCAGTAGGGTATGGCGACAGTAGAAATTAAAAGGGGGACGCACAATGGACCAATAACTGGTCTAAGTACATGGGGAAACCAACCCCCTCTCATAATACATACATACAATACATATTTCTAGGTTGGTAACCCCTCTTGAAATAATTTATTCCTCCGTAATGTTCTTGTTCTTACTGTTCCTTGCAAGCTCATCTATTTTGTCTTTCATATATTCCCTCGTTTTATTCCTGAAAAGCCTGCTGGTTTCTCATCTTATACCATTCAGATTATCCCCAGATAGTTCACTTGGATCCTGTAACCACTGCAGTTTGGCTTGTTTCCTTTGGTCTAATAATTTTCAGCATCCTTTGTCAAAACATGGCTTATGCTTCTTCAGTTCGTAGTAACCTAGACTCTCTTTAGCAGAAATTTTGGTATTCTCTCTAATAGTTTCCCAAGTAACAATCAAGTAACAAAGTAACATCCCGAAGCAAAAAGATTGGGCCAAGCGGGAAAGAATTCTAGGGATTTTAAGAATTCTTACTTCAAATAACGAAACATAATTTTACACAATTAACGACGAATCAAATAAGAAAGCTACTGTGGTGTGTGAAAAACTTTTAGTGAACCGACACTCTGGGTAATTTTAACTATTTGTAATTATTTTAATTAACTGGAACGTGGCTATCTTGGACAAAGTGAAGTTTTGTGTGTTGGTGATTTCTTTTTCTACTATAAATGCCTCTGATGATGGCTCCGTGGTGAGCCGAAACATGTAAGGCAGGTGGTGACGAGGTGGAAAACTTAAAAAAGTGTCACATTTGACGGAAGGAACTTGATTGTTAATTGGTTAGTGTGACGGACCAGAATGAAAGACCTTAAAGTTTCCCAAGCTTTATTAATATCCACATCAGTGTCTGAGTTTTCCAAAGTTGTGAACCAATTTGAGATTTCAACACGATACTGCTCTTTACCCTCTACCTTGTTCAATTTCTTGAGATTGAACCTCTCCATATGAACTCTGTGCACTGTTTGCTTACTCACTGTCAGTGTCTCCCCAACTTCTGCCACCACCAGATATTGGTCCGTAATACAGTCTGCTGCCCTGAACAATCGGACATCAAGTACACTTGAATGCCATCTCCTACCCATCAAAATATGGTCAGTTTTGTTCTGCATCTTTCCATCAGGAGATATCCAAATAAATTCATGATTATTACAATGTGGGAACTGTATTTTTGACAATGACATTTTTGGATGGGGCAATGTTTACTACTCTGACTTCATTATCATTACTAATTTCATGCAAACTCTCATTCCCAATTGTTGGTTTGAAAATATCATACCTACTTACTTTGGCATTGAAATCTCCTAACAACATTTTCATATGGTACTTTGGGAATTTATCAAATACATGTTGTAATTCTTCATAGAACCTGTCCTTTATATCGTCAACTTTATCTTCTTTTGGGACATGAACATTCAGAATGATGATATCACACCAGAGACCTCTTAGTATTATGAATGACATCCTCTCACTAATGAACTATATCCTCTTAACTGCTGATATGATTCTCTTATGCACCAAAAAATGTGTACTTAATTCGTGATTTTCATTCCCTTTCCATTGAAAAATGTATATTCACCTGCTGATTCAGTGCCACGTTCACTCAATCTGACCTCCTGTACCCCCATTAAATGTAACATATATTTTTAGATTTCTTCCGCCACTCCCCTCAGCGAACCTGTCTATACATTATTGCTAGTGGGGTGGGACTAAGTACCTTGTACTGCGGCCACTTCTGGCCTATTGTACCATGCCTGTACATACTTCTAACATTCCAAATACCAGATCTCATATACATTTTTTTTTTCACTTGGGTCATTTAACCAAGGTATCTATTAGGTCCGAGGCTTCTTGCAGATGTTTGTAACAAGCTTATTTTTTTACAGCAAAAACTTGTTAGCCCAACCCCAAAGCTGGAGGACCACCCTTGTCGTCTATCCGCGACTGCTTATTCAATATATTCACAGTCACCCTCCATACCTGGAGGACATCTCCACCATCTGCAACCCGAGGATGTGCCATGCCATGGTGACAAATGACCCACCTAACATGTACATTTTCTGGCGACCTGTTTAATTCTGTCCTCTTTCCCGACTTGGGCATTAAAATCTCCTATTACTAATAGTATATCATGCTTAGGTATTCTACCTACTATACAGTATTCTGAAGGTCTTCCTAAAATACTTCTGTCATTTCATTGTCTTTATCTTCAGTTGTTGCATGCACATTCACTATATTAATATTGTAATATTTACCTTTTATTCTCATCTTGCATCTTTCATTAAATGGCTCAAATCCTAGTATGCTACCCATTAGCTCTTTCATCGCTAAAAATCGGGTCCCATCTGTTTTTACTTACAGCTATAGTATAACATATAAGTTCGTCTTGTAATCTTTGCAACCATTGCTTGCACATTTCCCAACTACAACATTTCCCTCACGTTCCTTGTACCTACAGTTACTTTCAAGTCACCATCTAGTCTCCTGACCAGTGGGTGCTTGGCGGCAAAGCGGCTGAAACATCGAGTACCGAGTGGAGCTTACTCGCCGCGTGGTGTAATATTCAATTATTGCGTCATAGCCGGCGAATTGTCACCCCTTAGTATGC